TGCAAGTGATGTTACCATCGGTAGGAGAAACATAATGAGAACATTTGGCAGAACATTCCAGTAAGGATCGTATGTTGGTTAGTACTGAGGTAGGTTCGGAAACAAAACACATGGGGTTGTCTGGCTCTCCTATCATTTCATACTTCTTGTCAACTGCTGATGCTAACCAGTTAACTGATGATGATAATGAAATGATAATCAAACAAGCTGATGTCAAACACATCATATTACTCAAATTTTAATTCTTTTTCAATAAGTTAAAATTCGAATCTTCTCATAAACTTAATCCAGAATATAAACTTGTTAGTATAAATAGTAAAATGAAAATACATTCTGGGTGCTTCGAATGAAATTCAACAATTTCTACTTAATGAGCATATCAATGAGATTTAGATACACATCAATGATACTACCTATAATTAGATATATTATCAAAGATATTAATGACTTGAGCAGACAATTATTTATGATATGAATGACAATTCTTTTCAAACGTGAGCAGAAACAAATTTATCATACATTCAAAAATGATCAGTTATATTGTCCTCAATTGATGCTTTTAAAATTTGAATAAAAACGCTCTTAACTCAGTAGAAAACGCAACAGAGGGGGTAAGTTTTCATGCAAGATAATGAGAAATTGGTCTGAAATATAAATTTTAGCATTTAAAAAGCTTTTAAATTTTTATGAATTACTTTTTGGAACATTTGATTTTTTAAAAATTACATTAGTACCAACTGTCGTTATGAGATTCATTTCAAAAAATGATATTTTATTGATCGATTTTCGTCCAAATGTTTCAGAAAATTGCAGTTTTTCGTAATCACATTGTTGTCATGAATGATAATCCCAAATGTAAATGTAATTTATCATTATTAGTAGCAGTAGAAGTAAGAATAATAATAATAGTAGCAATAGTTGTAGAGGTAGTAGTAGTAGTAGTGGTAGTTGTTGTATATATAGTATATTTTTGCGTAGTTTTAACGTATTAATTCATAATGTAACGATAGCTAAGTTGTTTTTCTGATATTTTATATAAAAAAAATACTGTTTACTGCAGCTAACAATTTTATTTTATTATATGAGCGAGTTAAAAATATTACCAAACTGCTGATAATAAAGCAAAAACACGTCACAATGATGACGATCGTAAAATATTTGAAATGATATTTATATTCAGCAATGTTCTTATAATGAGAAATGTTTCAAAATGATCATAATTAAACACTAAAGATATAATATAATGACATTAAAATATTTCGATCTAATGAATATTCATGAAAATCACACAAAACACGTTGAAATATTACTGAAACTCTAAACTCGTAAGCCATACATGAAGTGTCTCTGTAACGTAAAAGTTAAAACTGCATTGCATCTCTTACTCATGTGAGAACATCCATCAGGTCTCATTCAATTATTCTCAACTGCAAGATCAAACACATCACGTGATGATGTGTTTGATCTGCAAGGCTGCCTGAGAAGGTTACTTTGCATCCCTGTCCAACAAACAGTAGCCAGTCAAGCAATTATCATTGAAAATGTCTCAAAGAGAAGAAATATTAAAAACTGTACAAATCACATTTGGAAAATAGCGGAACATTTTGGAAAAATTTCTATCTACGACATTAATTACTGAATCACATTAATTACTGAATCACATTAATTACTGAATCACATTAATTACTGAATCACATTAATTACTGAAAGCATCTAAACATAAATATTTATCGTCTTCATTAAAAGTAGCAAAAGTTGAAAAAATGTTCAGAGAGTTGAAACCAGTGTCAGGAGTGTGAGGATGATGAATGAAGAAGTCGCAGTTGACTCGCACACCCTCAAACACCAAACAGGTTGCACAAATTTCACGGTGGAAAAGCATGGTTGCTATAAAAAGTTTGCTACTGCACGAATCGATGGTTAACTGTTGAATAGATTCACAGATGTAAAGCTTGCACGAAATATTCGAAATAATTTGAAGGATCTAAAAAAGTAGGATATATGAGATGAATAATCGTAAAAAAACATGCCCCTCACACGTTACGCTTCATCATCATCCGGCTGTAGGTGGGGTAACCTACATAAAAGAACTTACTTGAACCATACGGGCCATTCACATTTTGACAACTACAGGCATTGAACCAATTCCCTGATGAATGCGTTGAAGCACAATTAGAGGCCGTTCTATCGTTGTCCTGGTCAGGAGTTGAGAACTTCATCCCATTATGGACATAATTGGAATTTGGATAGTTCAAAACATCTGCCTTATCTCCACAGTATCCGGAAACATTGATGGAATACATTTCAAGCTTTGAATTTATCTGGGATTGTTTCAATGACTATATATTCATTAATTAACGATTGAAATACACAAACACATTTCTATTTTTATAACTTTCAACTAAACAAAAAATAAAATTTAATCATTGTTATTACTATTAGCGGTATTTTTATTGTTATTAATGTTATTATTATTTCTATTTGTGATAGTAGTAGTGTCAGACTGATTACAAATAAACTTCATTTAAATGAAGCAGTAACCATTAGACTAGATTATTCAGATATAATAACTATTTTTACCTACCATTATGCAGGGCTAAACTACTTGGTCCGGTTATATCAATTATAAAGTGGTGGAATACATATGATTATTACTACTTGACTGATGACTTAAGATCTGCATCATCTTTTAGACATTATAAATATTTAGTTTGTAATTACGTAACAAATAGAATTATACGATTGAACTTTTCTAAAATAATTCTTGCTTGATTCCGATTGAAACAAATGGACCTATATGATTCAATTTCAGTTCGAATTTAATTTTTCTTAAATTATGTTCTATTGCGTGCCCAACAAGCCAAGGCCTTGTCTTTAAATGAAAAAATAAGCAGCAGCGGTTGTAGTAGTAATAGAAGTAGTAGAAGTAGTGGTAGTAGTAGTATTAGGAGTAGTAGTGGTAGAAGTAGTAGTAGTAGTAGTAGTAGTAATAGAAGTAGTAATATAAGTAATAAAAACTTATTACAATTATTTTTATATAAGTGTTTAAAAAATAATCTTTATTAATTTTCAGAGGTGTCAATAAAACACGTGAACAAACAAGGCACGTGAACACACGTGAATGAAGGTATCAGACACATGACGCATGTGTTGGTCGGGGATCTGTCTGCGCTCGAACCAGGTCACCGCAACAGCATGACCAAGAACCATCCCGATTCATTCGATTTGTGGGAATTTTAATTTATTTGATGAAACATTATTTTCATTTTAATTCTGGAATAGAACATAAATGCAAAATATTTAGAACCTTGAAATGATCATATTCATCGGAGTACCATTTACCACCGATGAGAACTTCAAACCTCAACCTGTAATCAGCCGATGCCGTTAACTGGTGCATCTTCTCCAAGCCCAACCAGAAGTTTCTGTAGTAGATTCCAAATCCGGACTGCAGAAAATAACAATTTTATTACGAGAAGTTCAAATCATATCCAGCGCATACCTTGTACGTGCTCCAAGTTTGGTTGAAACTCTGCGAGCCATCAATCCTTTGCTGAATGACAATCCATCCATTGACAGACGTGACAGGAGTTGAGTTGGCAAACATAGGAATGTCCAACAAAACAGTTTCGTTAACAGCGCTGTAGGCTGTTTCGAATTATAAATAAAAATATTTTTATTTGGGTGAAATAAAATGTTCCCGTCATTAAATGCTACAATTCTTAAGAAATATATCTGACAAATTGTAACCAATGATTCTTATGAATGATAAAATGTATCAAAAACCTTGATCACCAAGACAGATGGACAACTGCCTATTAGCGGTGAGACACATGTAGAGAGCACAAGGACTGCTGATGCCAGGTAGTGAGTTGGAACAAGAGTAGAACAATCCACCGTTGAAGGTGAATGGAAAGTTGCAGGATTTGCTCAGAGTCGTATGGTGATTGAGAGCTTTCAAAAATTTTGATTCAAATGATTTATTAATTATTTTAACCAAAAAATTAGAATCTGGCAGACGCAGAATCTGTTACAACAGATAAGACAACATTAAAGGATGGTGGGAATAAGTGACTGTGTACGAAGGTACGAACAAGCATGGAGAATAAAATGATGAAATAGTTAGGGGTAATGACAAAAATGAATTCAATCTCATTACTTACTATAGAACACATTATTTTAAAAATTTATAAAGTTTAAAATCGTTTAATGAGACAATATCAATCTCAATAATTATAACTACATTTTGAGTTTTGTAAAACAACTATTAATTAAATACAACAGTTAGAATTATTAAATTATCATTAGACAACAGGCCATCACAACTAGGAGTAGCAAAGTTTGATACATTAATAAATATACTGAATGATGAACTTATAAACTTGGAAATAATGAACTAACTTGGTATTGGCACGGTCGAATCATCCTGTTGTTAAATGGATTCAATTGGTTGATATGTGATAAACTTTGAAAGTGCAACTATAAAAATATTTAATAAAAACTCATTCAACTGACCCGATATGCTTTGCAGTCAGTTCTATTCAGAACAATCTTGAACTGGTCCTCACATTTGAAATGAAACATTTGGCAATGTTTATCTGGATGACTAGCATTGTTGGATACGTAGTTGAATGCGTTGCAAATGATGTTACCATCAGTGGGAGAAACATAATGAGAACATTTGGAAGAACATTCCAGTAAGGACCGTATGTTGGTTAGTACTGTGGTAGGTTGGGAAACAAAACACATGGGGTTGTCTGGCTCTCCTATCATTCCATACTTTTTATCAACTGCTGATGCTAACATGTTGACAATTGATGATATCATAATGATAGCACTCAGATATACTTTACACCTCATTTTAAAATCAACTTAATTTGTAACAAACTTAAATTTAAATTATTTTTTTTAAAATTTGAAAAAGATTTTTCACACCAATCCTAAATATATTCCCAGCAGATGAAACGCACCCATCTACTTCTCAATTTATTAAAATTCAG